GGCTATACTAGCAGAATTACAGGATAGTGCAAAATATATCTCCTAATATTCTCAGTTACCATTAAATATTTGGAAGGTCTTCTGTATAAACAAGAGTATTGATTAACAGGAGGCTATTAGTAACTTTAGATTACAATATAAATCCTTTGGTTCAGAAAATCAGTCTTCAGCTACTAGAATTTTGCAAAATATACTGTTTTTCTACCAGGAAGAGGTATATGACAGTGGCACCTCACTTACCAGTGAGTCTAGGAATGATCTGGCTATAAAGGTTCATGATCCCTGAAATTATTTGGTCCGCCAGTCAGGTTCTCTGCAAGTCTTCCTGTTGTCAGGATCACTTCTGCCCCAAGAGGGAAGTGTTCGCTTCCTGGACATGGGAATCAAAACGATGAGGCTTGCTAAAAGAAATTTAAGTAGTTTCAAGATGTGTTTGGAAACTTATACCAAAAGGTACAAGTACAGATTAGGCAAAAGCTGGCTCAAAAGCAGTAAGTGTGAGAGGGACCTTGGAGTCCTAGTGGATGGTCACTTAAATATGAGCCAGTAGTGTGCGGCAGCAGCCAAAAAAAACAAAAACTAACACAGTCCTTGGTTGTATAACTAGAGGCATAGAATCAAAATCATGTGAAGCATTATTACTGCTTTACAAAGCCTTAGTAAGGCCACCCTGGAATATCACATCCAGTTTTGGTCACCACATTACAAAAAAAAAAAAAAGATGTTGAGACTTTGGAAAAAGTACAAAACTAAGGTAAATTAATCCCTTGCTCAGGATTCCCCCTTGTTTGTCTTATTTAATTCCGCATTCCATTTGCTCACAGACCACTTTATCTAAGGTGAATTCCAAAACTTCACCACCTGTTCCTAGTAAATAGCAGTCAGACACCAGGGCTGTTTGTTGTTCTGTTGTCACTTGTCACTCACAGGCAGATATCCAGATGGAGCGTGACAGTGTCATTCTGAAATAATATCTTCATAATGTGTCATACTTGCAGGGCAATTGGATTAGATTCTTAGCTCTTCCAGAGTTCACAGATAATAATGTTTTTCATTTGTCTATGCAACAAGCACTATGTTTGCATACAATGGATAGAATTCTTGCTTTTTTGTTCTCTTTAACCTTGCATTTGCCTAAAGTTCATCTGGCCTTGTAACTACACATTCTTCATCAAGTTCTCAAAGATCTCAGCAGGTCAAAGAAACATGCCCTTAGAGGGGAGAAAAATATTACACCTTTTCTGGAAAATTCTTCCTACAAACAAAAAAAAGCAAAGGTCTGGGCCTAGGATGTGTCTGCAAATTTACATTTTACAGTAAACATGGTGTCAGCTCAAGCAGTGCTATCTCACATACAATAGTCAGTCTAAGGTTGTCAAGATGAGATTCCCCTCTAAACCTGTTTAAAGAGCCTCTTAAAAGCTTTAGGCCAAGGGTCTTCAAACTTGGTAAGTTTGAGACTTGTGGACTTCAACTCCCAGAATTCCTGAGCTAACATGACTGGAGGAGGAATTCTGGGAGTTGAAGTCCACAAGTCTTGAAGCTGTCAAGTTTGAAGACTACTGCTTTTAGGCCATAACATGGAATAGAAACATTGACTTCTATCTCTTTGGGCATTACGGATATGATACCATATATTAAATGAATGTATGAATATGTTCTTTATCTCCAAATGTTTTTCAAAATTTGTTCCATAAATTATATTTTAGGAACTGAGAATTAGTTTCATTAGATAGGATGAGGAATTGTGCATGGGATGGGAGTAATGATCGATTTGTAAAGGAAAGGCAAAATGGTTTTAGAAGTCATTTATTTTCAGGTACACGTACAGGTAGTCCTCGGCTTACTATAGTTGGTATACTGACCATTCAAAATTACAATGGCACTGGGAAAAAATGACTTATGACTGTTTTTCACACTTACAATTGTTGTAGTATCCCCATGTTTCACATAATCAAAATTTGGATGCATGGCAACTGGTTTCATATTTAAGATGTTTGCCGTGTCCCAGGGTTATGTGGTCACTTTTTGCAACCTTCTGACAAGCAAAGTCAATGGGGAAGCCAGATCCAGTCAACAACCAGGTTACTAATTTAATAACTACAATGATTCACTTAATAACTGTGGCAAGAAAAGTCATAAAATGGGGCAAAACTCATTTTTAAAAAACTGCCCCACTTAAACAGCATAAACTTTAGGCTCCATTGCAGTCATAAGCCAGGTCCCGCTGCCAAAGCAGAATCAAGGCCATCATAGAAGACCCCTCACACCCTGGCAATTATCTTTTTAACCTGCTGCCGTCTGGACGGCGCTTTGGGTCAATAAAATCCCACACCACTAGACTAACAAATAGTTTCTTTCCCTGGGCCATCCGAACCGCAAATAAATACAAAGTCACTTACAATTAAGATGTGAAAAGATGTGAAATCGCAATATCTCATTCAGATGTATAATAACATATTACAGTACAATCCATCTCTTGTGTATTACACTCGGCAAAGCATCACAGTCAGTGTTGGAGGTATATTTTGTGTATATTTGTAGATATTGTACTCTCTAATTGCAACTGGAGATGCGGGTACTCTATTTTTCTTATCTTCATCTTTAAGTGCTCTGGTTTTATTGTATTACGAACAGTTGCTGGGGTACATCCACAGTTTCGTTGTACTTGTACAATGACAATAAAGTTCTTCTTATCTTATCTTGTAAGTTGAGGACTACCTGTAGTAAATTTGTATTCTGCTTTTTCTTAATAAGGAAAGAATGATGTCATTTTTTCCCCACTAACATGTTAAGGAACAACTATTTTTTTCAATGGCATATATAACTTTCAGTGTAAGAGCCACACAGACTTTAGTTGGCAGGCAAATTTTCTCTAGTAGTAAGGCAGGCAGGGCAGACAAAAACTGGGCTTAGGGCAAGTACAAATATTAAATTCAATCTAAATGTAAGATTACATGAAAATAATTTAATCAATTTAAGGTTAAGCATTTATTTTTTCTTTTTGCTACCTTAAAAACTATAATTTTGGGATGGAGGTTCGTCATAGAGTTCTATATTTGTACAGCCCAGTTTCTTTTTTCCTTTTATATAGGTAAGGTTCCTATCATGAGGTTAGCCTTATGATATTTCTTACTCCCATTGTAAAATATTTAAAACTTATTTATTCATTTTCCCTCTTGGTACTTAATTCTCAATTGTAATTTTTTCATGGAACTGAGTCATTTGAAAGCTCTCAATGATCTCCACTAGGAATTGTTTATATTTAATGAGATGGAGAATATTTTTCTTGGAACCACCATAGCGTGAGAGTTCAACTTACAAAAATTAGCATAGACTTATTCAATGCTTAATATAATACCTGTTATTCAGTGTATCGCCTGTGAAAAATTAAGTATGCAAATTTTACTTACAGTAGGAATGAAACTCCAGGTGGCAGGCCTGGAAAATTTAATTTAAAATAATTTACCCTTTTCAATTCTTAATTAATAATTTAAATATTTCAAAGTGTCCCTGACTCAATAGTCATGTTTTAATTTCCATCCCTGTGTTTCTTGTTACTGTGCTTGTATAGAAGGCAGCTTAAATTACAAAGCATGTAGTTCTGAATACCAGTTATTGTAAAACATTTTTTTCCTCTCCTACTTACGAGCTTTCCTGAGGATCATGACTAACCATTTTAAGAGGTAGGGTGGATTTTTGAAGTTACATTCTTGTGAATAAATTTTTTTTTGTCTGTTAATAATAGTTGAGGATAACTAGGATTTTCCTCAATCCATCCCTGGTTTTGCAAAAAGAATCCAGTACTTGTATTCAGAGAAAACTCAGGCTTAATAGTAGTGAAAGAAAGAACATGGAATATTCAATTTTTTAACAGTGAAGTAAAAAAACAACCACATTATTATTAATGCAGTGATAATTCAATAAGAACAAAATGCACACAGGTAATCCTCGATTTACGACAACAATTGTTTACTTAGCGTGATATTCTCTTTCAAGGATTAGCCAGCCAGCATTTGAGAACCCACTTTTGCTCATGTTCCTCAGCAGCTGGCATTCAAAGACATAGTATCTCTGATATTAGAGGTAATATAGTCAATATGACTAGTAATCTTGGATAGCTTGTTTTTAATAAGGTTGCTTTGAGATGTAGTGTTTCTGGAGAATGACGCTAATGGTTTAGGACAAAAATACACTAGGTTTATACAGTGACTTCATTTTTTCAATGAGGTAAGTTGTACTTTTAAATTCAAGTTGGAAATGTGTGGTTCTTAATTGTACTATATTTAAAATCCATTTTAAGCATGATTCTTGTGTTTTGTACAGTGCATGATATAAGTGATGTTGGATTCAAAGTTAAGTTTATATAATCATATAGTTGTATTTTAAAACTGTACTGCACCATGTTGCTAACTTTGACATAAAAATAGCCTTCCTTCCTTCCTTCCTTCCTTCCTTCCTTCCTTCCTTCCTTCCTTCCTTCCTTCCTTCCTTCCTTCCTTCCTTCCTTCCTTCCTTCCTTCCTTCCTTCCTTCCTTTCTTCCAGGGGTGGGTTTCTACTGGTTCTGTCCACCTCTGTAGAACCGGTATCTCTGAAGAGCAGCAGACATAGAACCGGTTCTATGTCTGCTGATGTTTTTGCCAACCTGCCCACCCGGGCTCTTAGCTGATCTTTATTTCGTGATTTTTCAACTTCAGCTGCTGAACAAGGCACAGCTGCAGTTAAAAAAGCAGGAAAAGAGGGCTGTTTCAAAGGCTGCGTCTCTGCACACAGCATGCTGATGACAATTTACAGGCCTGAACCTCGTAAATCCCGAACCAGTAGTTAACCCTGTCGTATCCCACCCCTGCTTCCTTGCTTCCTTCCTTCCCTCCCTCCCTCCCTCCCTCCCAATGCTCCTGTTTCAGTTTGAACTAGCAGTGCATGCCAAGCCCTTATTATTTTTTTCACCTTCTGCTTTTGCATATATAACTCTTTATGATTTTATTGCATTCACCAGGTTTTGCTGGTATGGGTAATCTTCTTAAAGTCCTTACCAGAGAAATTGAAAACTACCCACATTTTTTCCTGGATTTTGAAAGTAAGTTCAAAGCTCGGAACGTTGTTTTCCCTGACTTAGGGGACTAGTTGAGAAGGAATATTTAAGCTTGATTTGCCTTGACAGATAAAACTTGTTCAAGCAGTACAATAGACATAACAGTGTTTTCAAGATTTGTTCCTGAGTATCTTTATTCTCTTCCTTTTCTATTTTTCAGAAACCAAATGGGAAATCTTTTAAAAGTTCTCACTTGTACAGACTTTGATCAAGGCCCCCTTTTTTTCCTAGACTTTGAAAGTGAGCAGAATTTGGCCTGCATTTTTTTTGGGGAGGAGGTTTTTTTTAACATTAAAAAGTCTAATAAATACCATAGATTAATCTAACATGCAAGTACTCTAGCTCATGCCACTTGGAGTTCTCCTCTTTCATTCTGAAAAGTCACTGTTCAGTTCATCCAAAATCCCAATAATAATTGCTTGTGATCATGAGCATTAGCTCAAAGAACTTGGCTCATGGGCTTCTTTTGGGACAAATTCTGATTAGTTCAGCAGCCTCCATGTTGAAAAGGGTTCTGAACATGGATGAAGCCCACAGCCTGTGGAGAGAAGATTAAGTGCTTCTTGGTTCACAGATCCAAATTTTGACCCTGTGTTGCATCATGTTGCCAATGGGCCTCAAAATCATCACAATCTGTTATAAAGTGATCCTTATAAGTGGCTTGTGCTATATTCAAAATAAACTTGCAAGTAAATTATTTTGTTTCTTGCGTTATTGGTGTGTCTAAAAGCACATTACTAAACTTCTGTGGTATATTATTTCAAAACTTGAATAGTATATGAAAGGGCAAATCCAAAGGGTCTGATATAACTAAATGTAAGCAACCAAAATCCTGTTTAATGCTTCTCTGTTTTGTCAACTTAATGTTGCCGATCCAGAGAATTGGCATAGGCCAGAATAGAATAGAATAGAATAGAATAGAATAGAATAGAATAGAATAG